GTGTTGGTGTGTGTGTGTGCGCGTGTGCACATGTGTACGTTTGAAGGATTGTTTCTTTTCTTTTTAACACAAAAAACTAAAGTTTCAAAGCAGGTGGGGTGTGGGTTAAACACCGTTCTAAATGGCAGGCCTGCTGTTCATGGGGAGGGAGAGTGGACTGAAAGTTTAAAAATAACCTGAACATTATAGACTCCTATGAATTCTACAGCCCAGAGCACTGGGAGTCTGTGGGTGTTTTACCTGCTGGAGTGCAGGCAGGAAAACAAGTCGAGAGGCAGGAGGATTTAAATTTGCTGAATCCTTTCATGGCATGCGTTGGCAGTAGAAGTAAGCGTTGATGAGAAAGTTGAAGCCGCTCTGAACATTCAGGATCGATATTCCTTGGAGGTGGGGCTGGTGCCATCTCTGGGTCCTCTGAACACACAGCTCTGGGTCACACTGGGGTCTACTGTGCAGCAGACCCTTGCTTTCCCTCCCTAACTGTCCCCTTTCCCTGCCTGACTTCACTCCTTTACTGACCCCCTCCGGAATTTGGCCAGTAGCTTTTCTAGAAGGATTATGGGATTGGCCCACAGAAAGTTCAGAGGTTAGTGCATTTCAGATAAATTTGGCCATTCATTGACAGACAAATCAGCAGGAGTCGGTGTGGGTTAACAGCCTGCCTTTTGGGGTTTGGAGAGTTTTGAGGAGTTGAAACGGGTTTTGAACCAGGACTCAGGTTGGCATGACAAGTGCTGCTCTGGGAGACTGCAGTGTGAAAACTGTAAACGACACTGAAAATGCGCTGGAATGCTGGAGGGTGGGTCGTCACACATGGTTTCTCTGGTAGTCCCTGGGATTCAGAGGCCGTGGTGCACAAGTGTTTAAAAACAGAACTGGGGCTGAGCCGTAAGTCTCCTGACAGTGTCAAGTGCTGCAAGGACTCGTTCTGAGGACTGTCAGCACCGCCTAGAGAGGCTGGGTGTTTTCTGCCCTTGGAATGGTAGAAACACAGTGAAAGAAAGTGAGTCGCTTCAGTCTCTGTTGATGTCAGTTAGAGACCTTACAGGGGTTAAGACAATGGGGACTAGAGTTAGCTAAACCTAGGGTTGACTTTCTGTGCCACTAACCACCTATTTGTCTTTAAGGAAAATTCTTTGATCATTTTTAGATCTTGCTTTTCTTATCTATAAAATGGCGATTATAGTAGTACCTACCCCATGGGATTATTCTGAGAAATAAGGAAAGTAAAGAGCAATGTCTTTGACTTATTAACTTTTAATATTTATTACAATTATTATAAACCTGTATGTTATAATTATTCATTACTCTAAAAATTGTATGTATGTTAGTTATGTAAATGATGTTTCGTTATGACATTTCCTTTCTGTTTTTTTATTATGAGTGTGAGTGAGTGTGTGTGTGTGTGTGTGTGTGTGTGTGTGTGTTCTGCAGTACACGTGTAGAGATCAGAGGACAACTTGCAAGAGTCAGTTCTCTCTTTTTACCGTGTGGGTCTCAGGGATCAAACTCAGGTCATCGGGCTTCATGAAGCATCTACCAGCTGAGCCCTCTCTCCAGCCCCTGGCTGTTTTGAAATCACAGCCTCACTACATAGTTATCATTGGCCTTGAACTTGTATTGTTACTTCCCTAGCCTTCCAAGTGCTGCGATTATAGGTTTGTGACTTCACACCCAGGTTTCATTATGACATTTCACATATGCATATAACATATTAACGTTTGCTTCTTTGATGCATGCCCATGTTTTCTGTTTTTTTTTTAATAGCCCTGAAATTTGCTCTATGAAGTTGTGATTTATTGAGGAATAAAAGAAAATAACATACCTGGGAGTTTGGGATTATTATATTAATCATTGACTATATATGGAAAATTATTTAGAATAATGTGACTGATGATTATTAAAAAAACAAATCAAGTCTTTTAGAGAGACTGTGTTATTATGAATGTGTCTATGTATATGTCCAAGGAATTGGATTGCTAAGGGTCTTAGAATGGAATATTTCAGAAATTGTTGTTTGATTGGGAATTGGTTTTCCACATTTCCCAATTTAATTAATCAGTTAGCTATTTTTTTCAGCATTAGGCATTGAATCAAGGGTCTCCCACATGCTAGGCAAGTGCTCTCCCACTCAACCACACTCCCAGTCCTCTTTTTTACTTATTCTTTTGAATATCTTAAGAAAGCTTGTCATTCTTTTCATTTGCAAGTGCTGAATTAAGCCTGTCTGAAAGCTCCCAATAGCATGAGTGAATCACTTGCATGTCTGTACACCTGAGTGGCAGATCAAACCAGAGCTGAGTCTAGGGTGGCAGATATATTTTTAGGGGAGGATTTTTTGTTTGTTTGTTTGTTTGATTTTTGCATCCAGGGGCAGGGATACCTTTTGTCATGTAACTCTTTATTCAGGAAAGAGACATGATGATGATGCTTGTCTTTTTTGGGTAGAGATAAAAAAAAAATAGAACCAATTAAGACTGTCTCTTTTTTTTTTCATCTTTGTGGCTAACTTTTATTCTGTACTTTCTGAAAATATTCTTTATGTGGGGATCTCAATGTTTTTCTTTAACAACCCACTCCCCAAGTATTATTTCAGCCTTGATCTGGACCACGAATTCTCTAACCTGATGACTGGTTAAGGAAAGAGGGGGAAGCTGTCATGGTGCTGAGATTCTGTGAGTCAGCATTGCTTGACCTCCTTCAGGAGAGGTAAGCACCCCTTCTTAATATAAAGGAGGAGGTGATCACTACACTAGAGGCGGGGACCCAAGTCTAGATCCAGAATACATAAGAAGGGCAGCTCTCCAGATAGGGGCTAGGTACCTGATTGCTAAATAACCAGGCACCCATCTTTTTTTTTTCTGAAAGGAGTTGCAAAAAGTCCATTCATTCATTGACTAGGTACTTTGTAAAGGCTTGCTATGAAGATAACAAAATGCAGGTACCCTAAGTAAAAACACAAAGTTCTGTGAGTATGCGGGAAAGAGGGGACGTGGAGTTGGAGGACCTATAAAAGACCCATGGAGGTGACTAGGTACTTTGTAAAGGCTTGCTATGAAGATAACAAAATGCAGGTACCCTAAGTAAAAACACAAAGTTCTGTGAGTGTGCAGGAAAGAGGGGACATGGAGTTGGAGGGCCTATAAAAGACACATGGAGGTGAAAGTAAATTGGCTGATGGCTGGAGCTGGAGAAGTTAAAAAAAAAAAAAAGAGGAGGGGTGCTGTGGGATGTGTTGCTCTGATTGGTTAATAAATAAAGTGCTGATTGGTCAGTGGCCAGGTAGGAAGTATAGGCGGGACAAAGATAGAGGAGAATTTGGGAACAGGAGGGCTGAAGGGGAGATGCCAGCCTGCCATGGAGGGAGCAGCAAGTAAAGGCAACAGGTAAAGCCATGGAACATGTGGCGACTTATAGATGAATAGAAATGGGTTAATTTAAGATATAAGAACCGGATAGCAAGGAGCCTGCCATGGCCAAATACCAGTATCTGAATGATTATTTTATAAGTGGGTTGTGGGACTTCAGGGGCTTGGCGGGACAGGAGAGAAACTCTCCAGCTACAGAGGGGCGTTCCAGATTAGTTTCAAACAGGTGCCAAGTGATCAGAGGCAGCAGTGGGTGCAACGTTTGTTATAACTGTGGTTGCAATGGAACATGATGCACTAGGCACTTGTGTGGGAAAGATCCACATTTTTCTTGAATTGGTGGGCTAAAGAGTTTGGTCACTTTATGGGCAATAGGGAGTCACTCAAGTTGAATGATTGACAGGGACTAGGACATCCCAGAGATTTAAAAACTAATTTTAGGAAGGAGAACGTGGCTTGAATTCACACTGAGCTTGGGGTGATTAGAAGCTATGCGTTATTTCATCGGAAGTGAGGTGAAAGGTGAGAGCTGGCGGGGAGGGGGAGGGATAGATAGGCGAGTACAAGACAAGGATAGGCGCTCAAAGGGGCTGGCACCAGAGGGGGAAGGTAAGGAGCCCCAAGAGTCGTGGAGTGTTCCGCACAGTAAACCGAGAGCAATAAAAAGAGTCAGAGATGGGAAGAGCGAGAAACTGGGGGATTTGGTAACTGGGATGTGAAGATGAGGGGTGGTTCTCAGGGAATGAATACACGGAAGGAAGCCTATTGTGCCAAATGATACAGACTGGTGAGGGAAAAGGACGCTTAAACTCGGACCACCCTAGGTCACTGGAGACGCATAGTGTAGTTTTTGGGGCGTGGAAGTGGCACAGCCAGCAAATGTCCTTCCCAGGTGTCCATTTCAAAACTAGCCTCGAGTCCATATCATATGGGGATGCCTTATTCACTCTGATTATTTTATACCAAGTGGGTGTAACCAGCTGCTCATTGTAGGAGAGAGTGGGAGAGAGAGGGCGTGGTGATGGACAGGTGGTGGCTTAATCTGCTGTTGATTCCCACCAAGAGGGTGCGGAGAGAGGCACGACTGGTGAGTAGTAGGAACTGGTTCTTTTCTCTGGGCCTCGGGGTTCTCCAAGGCTCTGCTTCAGCCGTGAGCTGCTTTCTCTCCTTTGGGAACATCATCTTCAAGAGAATCTTGCAGGGAGGGGAGCTGGAGAAGAATGGCAGGTGCAAAGTCCACTCTGAACCCTTCTCTCCTAGGCGGTCCCTGACTTGTTCTAGCTTCTAGCCTGAGGCCTGACACACAGACAGTGCTCAGTATATATTTGCTGAATGGATGAATCAATCGAAGCCCAAGTAGGATGAGCGAGCTTTGCAGAATGTGGGCTGCATCGTGGTTCCTGAGTCAAGAGACCACGTGGGGGCGGGTGAATGGGCTGTTTCCGTTAGTTGTTCCTCGTTTGTAGGGGGCAGGAGCTCTGCTGAGCCTCCTGCTTAACTTGGCCTTGGCAGAGAAGTGCAAGTGGACCCCTAGGTAGGGAGGTGAGGTGGGCAGTCATGGTGAAGAGATCATTTCGTTCCCAAGGCTCTAAACCTCCCCCACTGACTTTCTCAATGAGAGTTAATATCTAGTAGGTTCAACATATTTATTATTTATTTTTTGTTGTTGTTGTCTTGTTCAGGCTGGAGAGTGATCTCATTTGATGGTAAAGAATTGATTGAAGAGGTAAGGCTCCAGCTCTGTGATTCCAGGCACATGAAGACTGCTTAGTCAATCCCATGCATCTTGTATGCGGTCTCCATCCCAAGCACTCATGCTGCAGGCTGTCCTTCCAGGCCAACAGTCCTGGGGTCTCATGGCTTTTCTCTTCTTCTGGTTGTCTCCAGCTGGAAGGGTTGTCTCCTCCTCAGTCCTTCCCTAGGGCTCTCCTCCTGTGTACTCCATGTGCTGCTTCTTGGAGAGAGACCTTCAGGAATTAGTCTCCTCTGTTTCTCCTTCAAACTCTATGTTCTTAGAGGTTCTGACTATGTCTAATTCATCTTTGTGCCCAAGAAGTCCAAGAAAAATGCCTGAAACATGAAAAGGGTTTCATGAATATTTGTCAAGTAGGTTTATGAATTCATGAATTAGTAAACAAAACACCCAGCTCTCTCAGGTACCACAGCCTTTGGATTCCTGAAACTGGCCTCTAATGATGTCCTTTCCTTTTCTTTCCTCTTCCTGCTGGCTATTGAGCCAAGGGCCATGTACATGCTATGCAAGCACTCTACCACTGAGCTGCATCCCCAACTGTGTGCTGTGAATTTCCTGTGGGACAGATGCTGCTCCAAGAGCTGTGAACATATCAACCAATAATCTTTCATGACAGTCCAGTGGTGTAGTGGGGTATATTTGAAGACTTTCAAACTTAAGGTTGTATCTTACCTCTGCAAGACTACGATCATGTCTACAACCTGACTCTTAAGCAAGGAAGACAATGTTTGACATACACTACCTTAATAGTGGCCACTGCCATAAGGAATCAGGAGATCTGACTGCCGTTTCCTAGTTCTGTGACACTGAAAAAGTTCTTTGCTCTCTGGGCCTCAGATAACAAATAGAATATGTCTCACATCCCTGCAGCAAAGAAGTGATAAGATGCCCTTAGCACTGTCATTACCCAAGAGATGTTGAGTTGCCATCAAAGACTGGGTTCAAAGATTCCTTTGGGCAAATTTTCAGCTGTTTGATTGATTGATAGGTTTTGGTGTTCTGGGGTTTCTCAAGCTTAGGTTTGAGAGATGCTGGTTCCAGGGCTGGACATTATTATATAAGGCTGTGACGCTACATTTTTCCCCCAAGTCAAGGCTGTGTGGTGCTGTGAATGCCAGCAGCCTCCTGAGATGTCTGCATTGCCATCCTGCTCTTCTGCTCTGCTATGCATTTGCACATGGTTTCCTGCCAACTTTCTCTTAAGAACCCACTCCCAAATCCTCTCTGCATTATGTTCCTTAGAGCACTGTTTTGCATAAGAGTCTATTTCTTGGAAAAGCTCAATAAGGGAAAAATAGAACAAAGGGGGCTCTGATAGTTTAAGCATAAGCTATGTGAGTGTAACTGGCAAGGCAAGGCTGAGTAGAGCTCAGGGCTGGTGGGAGGGGTACATGCCTTTAGCCAAGGCCCAGGTTTTCAGCTTCCTTGATGATGGGCTAAGATCTTATATGAAGATGGCCCAAAGCCTCTGAAGTCTGGAAAGATATTTATGAATGGGTGGCACAGATCCTCTACTCTTGCCACTCATGTATGCCTTAGCATGAGCTCCCATTGCTTGCCTGGCTTGGGGACACTGTGGTGGTCTTGCTTCTTTCCTTTTACACACGAGACTGAAAGGACTCCCCATCAGTCTTCCTCCATCTTGGCTGATCCTTGAATTGTTCACAGGAGTGTCAGGGATGAAGGATAAGGGTTTTAAAATTTAATAATCTTCATATGATCAATAATCTGGGGAAAGTTTTCACTTGCTTCCTCTGCTTCTGCTGAATTCTGAGCCTGTAGACCACAGCTTGCAGGGAAACATGTAGAACATTTGGCTGTCATATCTTAAATCTCTCTCCCCCACTGTCTGTCCGCCGTGCATTCGTCCATCTGTGTGTGTGTGTGTGTGTGTGTGTGTGTGTGTGTGTGTGTGTGTGTGTGTGTGTGTGTGTGTGTATGTGTGTGTATGTGTGTATGTGTGTATGTTGGTAACCTTGTGCCCAATGTGTGGGCCTGAACTTCTTGAAGACTGTAAGATGAACTGCTTTGCTTTGTGAAATCAAGGGTTTGGATCTCAATAAAGTCCCCTAGGGGAGTGACAAAGGGCTGGTGTGTAGAGGTCCATTGTTAAGGATGTCTGGGCTCTCAAGCTGGTGCCTGAGGGTGCTGGACTGCTAAGTACTTGTGCTCAGAGTGATGTCTCACCAGTGACCAGTAGATGGTGCTCTGACAACAGGAAAATAAGGCTTTTGTGTCTCTGAGGCTGAGAAAGGGGTTTTCAAAGGTTTTAAAACTGGTTTCCAGAGTTCTGATCAGCTGCCGATTTTCCACACTTCTATTTGTGGGTCTTTAAGGGAATAGTAGAATGAGGGGGAAAACATGCTCACCAGATTTTCTTACAAGGATCATTATGGCGATGGTCACATTGCTCTTGATGGTTCCAGAGCATTTAGACCTGGATCAGATTCATCTTGAGGATAGGAGGCAGAACATTCCGATAGGCTTAACATCATTGCTTCTTCTCTTGGTGATGTAGAGTTTGCAATTCTGCAGCGTGGTTATTAGAAATTGAAAATCAGATCCATTAGACGTTTACTCTCTGCCACTTATCAGGTCTGAACCAATACATTCATGTCTCTGAAGCTCTGCTGTTTTGTGGGTTAAATCAGCACCCTAACGCTTGGTCTCCTAGGCTGATCTGAGAGGTTTGCAGTGATGGCCATTTGTAGGGCTTATGTAAATTGATAACTACATCAACCACTTACATGATTTAATCTTTAAAACTGTATCCACCTGGCAAGTTTCAAAGTAGGGGAGTAGAGAATATGAAGCCAGTATAGAAACCCATAGATCTCAAGGCTCTCAAAAGCTGCAACATCCAGGTTGGGGATGAAGAGGAAGGAACATGCCTTCCTCCAGCTTTGCTGTTCTTAAGCCAAGTCACTTTCCAAAGCTATTGATGCCATAATATTTTCCCTAGTCTTCCTGGACTGCTTCTCCGAGACTTCCCATGAACTCCCCGACAGAGCCATTCCTGTTTCCAAGGGAACTCTCTTGGGCATTTATACAGCTTGCCCCTGCAGGAAAGCTGGACTCAGCCCCACTAGGTCCCCTCGCTGCCATGTATATTGCCTTGCATATCCTGGGCCTCTAAAGAATTGCAGCAGTCACACAGAACTCAGGGTATGGTAGAAAAAGGAAACAGGATCAGTACTAGATCTCTGCTTGGTGAGTAAAGAGATGAGTCAGGGGTCCTTCATCATCCTCAGAAACACCGTTGGAGGGTAAAAGGCCACCATGCCATGTTTAACAAGTAGACTGGAAGGAAGGCATGGCCAGGAAGGAAAGAAAGGTGTGATGTCTCGACACAAAAGTGAGAGATTTTAGAGCAGAGGCAGCAAAGCTACACAATCTCATTTACGTTCCGAAAGATACATCGTTTATGTCATCGTCCATATGGCTCATTATTGAATACCCAATGTCTAAAATAGTGTCTGTTGTGGGGAATGCATGTGAAAATATTTGTTAAACGAATGATTGGTATGGCTTCTGTGCTGTGGATTATGGGTCTCCTGGAAAGCAGCTACTTTGGTCCCATGAAGTTTACAGAATCCTGAGACAGCCACTTGTGACTAGTTCTAGGTGACTGCCCAATGGGACTTCCTGGTCACCCCCTTCACTTCTGCCTCCTATTAGGCTGTTCTGTGAAGTAAGATCACAGTAACAGGTGGAGCTGATACAACTCCAATAGTAATTTGGTTTGAAATGGGCTCTCCTGAATCCCAACGTCAACATGCTGTTCCTTAGGGTAGTGGTACCTGCAAGGAGTGCCTGTGTTGAGACCATTTCTTTGGATTTCTTACACACAGAGCCTTTTCCATCACACACTCATGGACTTAAAGCACTCAAAGCTCTCATACAATAGGCATGTGCCAGTGCTCATGTGGCCTTGCCCACACAGACACATACACATGCCTCACACTCAGACGTCAGTTAATTTCACACAGGGATACTGCCTTTCAGTCCTGTGACACCACACTCACCCATGGATTCCAGCATCTGGGCTTTGGTCCAACCTTTGCTATGTCCTCAATCACTCGTTACCCTCACCTCTTCCATTGCTCACTTAGGGGAAACATGGATACAACTATGTGTTGACGCCAAAGCTGGGGATCAGCCTAGCAGAGTATGCTCCAGCTAGTGTAGACAATGGGAGGGGACAGGGATAAACTGTCCCCGGGGTCTCCTGTGGGCAAAGACTAGGTTGCTAGACACAGAGCTTCTTTCCCTGGGGTTCAAAGCTTGTCTTTCCTACCTCCGCAGCTCAGACACTCATTTTGTTCTGTTTTTTTTCCTTTTGAATGGAGTAGATTTGAGAAAGTCAGTGGACCTTATTTGAAGGTAAAAGGTGATGGTGGGTGGGAGAACCCCTTGGTTAGGATTTTGATGGAAGTTTTGCTCAGGCCCACGGTCTAGGGACTGGAATATCTGGGCCGCCTGCCAGGAAGTAAGGCACAGGGTTCTGCTAGAGTCCAGCCTAGAAGGTGGCCTTGTAAGGTCCCTTAGGATAGACAGGACAGAAGGTCCCAGAGAAGCAGAGGCCACAGGAGTCTGAGCTCCTCTATGGTGCCTACAGGATGTCAAGTGTGGGTTTAGCAGAGGGTACTTTCTTCGCCCTGGGTATCCCTGCTGCTGGTAGTGGAGCCTAGAGTGACTACAAGGTCCTGGTAAGGGGTGTACAAGGTCCCTACCCTCCACTAGAGCAGCAGCTAGCAGGACACTATGCAGGGTATTGAAAGAGGAACCGCACTGGGTACCCTTCTCTGCCAGTACCAAGGACAGCGTTCCAGGACAGGTCCTTGATCTGTTGCAGAGATTCCGCAGGCACCACCAGCTGCAGCCCGCATCTCTTCTGCATCACTCGGAGGGGAACGGAAGGGAACTGCGACTCATCCTTGGACCCTTGCCTAGTTAGCCTCCGGTCAAATGAATCCGTAAGCCAAACCGGCCTCACCACGTTGGACTCTCGGAGCCCCTCCCCCGCGTCCCTCTCGGATTCTTGGCCACCTTGCTGCGCTGCTGCGCTGTTGTGCTGTGTTCCTTGATCCTACCTTTAAACATCGTCTCTGCCCCCTGTAGCCAGGCGGGCCGGGACTGGGGGGAGCTGGTCTTTGGTGAGGAAGTTCGGTTCGTGGATAAGTCCCGTGCCCTGCCAGCGCTAGCTAGGCTGACTGCAACCTGTTCCTCGCTGTGAGTGCTCGCCCGCCCGCTCGCCCGCCTGCTCGCTCGCTCGCGCTCCCGCCCTCTCCCCGGCGCAGCCGCGGATCGCTGTTGCATGCTGATCCTGGGAGGCGGCGGCGGCGAGCGCTCTGGGCGGATGCTGGCACTTGGGCTTCGCTGCTCTCTGATTGCTGCTCAACTTCTACCCCAAACGCAGGAGCTGTGAAGTCATTTGCCCCTCTCCGGCTGGATCGACTTCTTACCTCCATTCCTCCGGCGTTGCGGTTTACGCAGGAACCTCAGTACCGCTCTCCCTCCCCCCTCCATCCCCCCTCTCCAACCTTTGGATGCGTCTCTGCTGGCAGATTTAAAGAGCCAAGTCTTTGGCTGTGGAATTTCTTAGATGGACTCGCAGGGGCTGGCGTTCTAAAGCATGTCACCGTAGCTGGCCCTCGTCTTTTTTTTCTTTTCGTTTTTCTTTCAAAGTTCTTTTGTTTTCATTTCCTTCTTCCTCTCTACCCCTCACCCCAGCCAATAAATCAGCAAACTGTTACCTAGCAGGGTCGGTGCCTGCCTTTCTCTGAACCAGGTGGTGCGTGTGCCAGAAGAGGAGCTATGTCTGAGGAACATCCTCCTCCACCCCTCTCCGGTCCCTGAACACCACCCTACGCTGGCATTTTGGGGAAAATATTGCCTCTAGAAGCTGAGCACCCCCAAGCCCTACCCCCTTCTTCTTCTTCTTTTTTTTTTTTTCTTGAGGAATGGAGCTTCGCAGAGGTTGCCTTTAGAATCAACAGTTCAGAGCAGGGCTGAAGAGCTTGCAGGGGTCCCCAGAGGCGGTGGTCCCTGCGCCTGTGTGGATAAGGCTCTGAGTCTGGCTGTGTCTTTCCTGCCTCTTGTTGTGTGCGGGTGTTCGGCGATCACCTTTGTGTGTCTTCTGTCTGTTTAAACTTCAGGATGGCTCGCTTCGGGGAGGCGGTGGTCGTTGGCAGGCCGGGCTCAGGCGATGGAGACTCGGACCAGAGCAGGAACCGGCAAGGAACCCCGGTACCGGCCTCGGGGCCGGCAGCAGCCTACAAGCAGTCGAAAGCGCAGAGGGCGCGGACTATGGCTTTGTACAACCCCATTCCTGTCCGGCAGAACTGTTTCACGGTCAACAGATCCTTGTTCATCTTCGGAGAAGATAACATTGTCAGGAAATACGCCAAGAAGCTCATCGATTGGCCATATCCTTTCTTGCCCACCATGCCTCCCCTCTCTCCCTTTGCATTCCATCGGGTGAGGGGGGAAATACCTAGCATGGAATTTATCCCCCATCCCTTCTTGGTGCCCAAATTTGCCCCTTTGCTGAAGTGCACCCTACCTCGTTGCATCCAAGGGGCAAGCCTGGTACCCTGGAGACCTGTTTGGGTACTAGTGTTTTTCAAGGTAAGACCTTCGGATTTTGGTTTATTTTCCGCGTGGAAATCTCTATCGTACCTAGGTGCCTGGTGTTGAGGTGTCTGCCCCTTTCTGGGTTGGGCTTTGTCTGTTTCTCGGCCACCCCCAAAGCCCCAGTCATTTCAGAAGCTGCACTCCATGTGGATTGGTTTACCTCGAATCTCAGGGCTTTCTTTCATAATCACTTCCCTCTTTTCCTCCACTTCAGCCAGTCCCCCAGCCCCCATTCCTGCCAGCTGCGAAGACATTGGCACTATCTGCCAGTAGGGAAGTTGAGGCTCTGGGAGGAAATTTATTAGCCCAGAAGCTCCAAAGAGCATGAGCCAAACCCGTGGATACAAGGAGACAAATGAATACTTATAAAACAGGCTTTGAGCTGGGGACTGAGCTAACTCTGGAGACTAAGTTTAAGTTCCATTGAAAGTGAGTGACTGTCAGGGGAGGTGATCATGTCATCACAGCCCATCATAGCTCAAAGTTGGAGTTCTCTTCTCAGGCAAGGAGGTGTGTTCACCTTTCCTTGGCCCTGGGTTGCTACTCTTGCTTCTTACTGCTTGACATACCTGGTTGCTCTTCCAGCACCCTGAACCAGGCAGATCTACTGGGCCTGAATTCATCAGCTGAGGGTCAGAGGTGTGCGAACAATCTCCCTCTAAAGCCAAGGGTATCACTCTTCACAAAGAGTGGGTGGGTCATCTCTGGTGGTGGTGGATTCAGGGTGAAAGGCCATGGAAGGAGCTTCTTTGCAGGTTTTCCAAGTACACAGAGTGCAGGCTGCTGATCAGGCACCTTCCTGCCTGCTCTGCACTAAGAATTTGCATGCCTGGCAAGGCCACTGGGAGTTGAGGGTGGGAGGGTGTTTCAGGGGATTATAGGAGGCAAGTCAGTGATTGGGGGTTGGCTTGGGGACAGGGACTTTGATGCTTGTGGAGGTACAATTCCTGGGAAGAATGCACCTGCAAAGGAGGCTCCTCCTCTTTTCCCCAAGCTCCCCCCTCCCCACTCTCCTTTCAGGTGTGCAGTAGTGAGACAGCTGAAGGAAGCTGGGGTCTCAAGTATTAGTCTGCAAGGCAGCTTGCTTCCCCCAGGGCCTGGACATATCCCTGACCACCCCCCACCCCCCCAGTTTTTGGCCTTTTTTTTCCACCCCAGTTTCCTGCTTCAGCAGCTTCGGGATTGGCTGGTGCATGGTGCTTCTAGGCAGCACCTCATTAGAAATGAAGAAGCATCTCTAAGCAGTGATGCTTCCTGCTGCTGTTCACATCCTCCCACAGTCACCCCCTGGCTGGGTTTCTCCCTCTCTCCTCCTAGTTCTCTCATTCTCACCTCCCCCTTCCACCCCCACAGAATGATCTGGGCCATAGAGTGCTTGGGTTGAACTATCTAGCTGGGGGCTTGGGGCGGGGGAGGGGTCTGGTCCCTGCAGTCATGCCTGTCAGTGAGCTGCACAAAGCGGACAGATTGCATTGTGTTGCATGCTGCGGCTGCAAATAACTCCTCTGAGCAGTACTCCGCTGATCTCCCAGTGAAAGTCCCCTCCCTTGTCCGCCTTCTACAGTTCTTTTAGATTTCCCACCCACCAGGTGCCACTTTGCTGTGACCCTCTTAGGACACACCCCACCCCCAGATGCCTTCCTTCTCATTTTGCTTGCAGTAGATGAGGCAGCTTCTCTGACCCTCGCATGGCAAAGTGTGGCAGCAGCCAGCCATCCTTGGCACCTCGGACAGCGCCACCAAAACTCCCTTGCGGGTCCTAATCACCCGGTGCTGCACATCGGGTACTTCCGGCTGGGCTCAAGCTCCCGGGCTGGGACACGAAGCACGTTCCCTACACCATGGCTTTGCCTCTTTGCCACGTTTTCTCTTCTGCTGCAAAGGCACAGATTTCCCACCAGGCGCTGTAAGAGCAAGGTGCTGCTGAGTTTTACACCTCCCCTTTCCTTCTCTTCGGCCAAAATGAGGGACTCTGGAGGGAATGGATTCCATCGTCCTGCTCAGTGCCTTGGCCATACGTCCTGTCCCAGACATCTTTGCGATCCCCATACTTAGGCATTTTACAGTTCTACAGCCTGTAGGCTGTTGTAACCTGTTCTGAGAACATCTGCTAAGATGCTGAGAACCTGGTTGGATTTTTTTTCCCCTTCTGGTTGTACAGTGTAACTGACTAATGTATTCGCTCCGGTGGTGACCACGTGGAAGCATCACACCTCTGTGGGCTCTGCATTTTCTCCCAAGCTGCATCTAAGCTAGTCTCACCTTCCCTTGAGTTCTCAACATCCAGTTTCCTCAAAGATCTGCTTCATCTTTTTGAGAATCAATGTGAGGAGCAGTTACTCTTAAAGCTCTCTAATTAGGCTGCCAGGGTTCAAATCCCATCTCCTCCTGAAGCCCCATGACCTTGAAAAGTTACTTCATTACTCTATGTCTCAATTTCCTTACCTGTAAAATCAGGGTGATAATAGTTCCTGGGAGAATTGAAGGAGTTAATGTGTCAAGTGCCTAGAACATTACCTAATTACCCAATAAGCATCCATTATTATTAATGGAATCCTGTGGGAATCTCTGCACACCTGCAAGGTGGGACTCTTAGTTGAAGGTGAAGTCATGTAGATTCTTGCATTTCTTTGAGATCAAGGAGCCTCATTTGTATCACTTGAGAGCTTGTACAAAATCTGGACTCCTGAGTCCCACTTCACAGCTGCTAAATCAGATCCCCAGGTGTTTAATGTGTTGGCAATTGACTGTGTTCCTGGTTGTGGTAGTGACCAATTTAAGAAGCACTTTGTTCTTTGTAGGGGCCAGATTTTTACAACAGGAAAATTGTTCAGAAACGTTAAGACCCGCTTTGATACTGACATACAGTCCCACACATATGGATTTTGATTGCTCTGCACTACACTCTGTGGGGGTTAATACTTTTTTTCCTTTTTGTTTGGTGACAGAAAGCCACTGTGGAACTAGGATGTTAAAGTGCTTTTCTCACATGTCAGATGTTTTAATTTTATTAATCTGAATGGATGAGCTAAGTAAAAGGCGTGATTTAATCTGTGCTTGTAGGACCCCCTGACTTAGGAGCACCTTATCTTGCTCTTAATAGGGGTTGCCTAGTTCTAATTTGAAGGAAAATGTCTACAATAACCCAGATTTGGCATGGAAGATGGTGGAAAGGCAACAGCCCACTCCGAATGCATTTCCTTTTTCTTAGAAGCTACATCTGCATAGGGAGATAATTTTATTTTCTCATGACACTCTCTTCCACAGATGATACCATAGCCTTTTTGAAAATGCTAATCTGATTTAAAATGTGATATCACATTTTATGGCATTCCGTTCTTTCTTGCTTGCTCATCTAGTAGATCTAACAAGGCATTGGCTATTGTGAAAGCTACCCACTGGTCTCTGTACTGCACACTGTTATTCTGACTGTTCTTTGCTCAGGGACAGTTACCCTGTGGGTAGAAGCTTGGGAACTCTCACATAGTTTGTGAGATAGTCCACCTTCATTTCCACTTTTCCAGGTCAGAGGTGAAGGGAAGAAATGACATGTCTGACTTGGAGACCCTACATCATAGATATACAGTAGGA